AGGGGGGGGTGGGAGCCAGGACTCCCAGGTTCTTAGCCCCTGGCAGGGCAGTGGGGGGGACTGGTGGCTGGGGAGGGGGTGGGGAGCCAGGACCCCTGGTTTAAGGATTAAAGGGCTGCCCAAGAGCCAGTACTGGGCCTAGTCCCCGGGCAGTGGGGGTGTCCATGTAGGGCAGGATGGCTGGTCAGTTGCTGCCATTCCCAGCAGCTTCCCATGATGTGGGTGGAGTTCAGGGGTGGCTCTAATCAGTAGACCCCACTCCCTGCACATAGGGGAGGGTGTGTGGGGCTCCTTGGGGGACTGTGTGGGCAAGGATGCCGCTGCCCAGCAGATGGGCACCCCCCCACACAGTCCCCTGCCCCATTCAGCCTGCAGAGGATGGAGGGGGCCTTTGGGGATCTGGCCTCCTCTGAACAGAGCAGTAGCAAACAGAACAATAAAGCTCATTTTGTGCTGGCGTCCTCTGTGGCCCCTTGGGGTTGGGGCACAGGCTGGGTGGCCAGGGACCCCTCCCCCAGTGCTGGGAGGTGGCGCCTCTGAGGTGGGGGCTGGAAATACGGGGAACCCCTCACCTAGCTCGTCAGGGGCCCCCCGCCCGGTCCCCTCCAGCCAGTCACGTTTTCCAGCTTCTGTTCACAGCGGGGAGGCCCAGAAGCCCCCTGCTCCTTGTGGCCGCCAGTGCCCGGGGGGCCCCTGCTGAGCTGCGGGCCGGGCACCACTCAAAGCAAACTTGCGTCGTGGCCCCATCGCTTTATTGTCTCGGGTCGCCGGACAGGAGTGAACCGACAAACATCCGGGGCAACAGCCCGGCTGAGCATGTCTCCGGCCAGGCGTGTGGGGGAGCGACCGTGTCCAGCCCCCAGGGAGCCCCATCGGACCCCCTCCCCCGATTGTGCCAGAGCTGCGGGCCGGGCACCACTCAAAGCAAACTTGCGTCGTGGCCCCATCGCTTTATTGTCTCGGGTCGCCGGACAGGAGTGAACCGACAAACATCCGGGGCAACAGCCCGGCTGAGCATGTCTCCGGCCAGGCGTGTGGGGGAGCGACCGTGTCCAGCCCCCAGGGAGCCCCATCGGACCCCCTCCCCCGATTGTGCCATCCC